ACATACTTATGCACCCCATTTATTTTTTTTACAAAAATAGAATTTTGTGTTAAAATAGACAATTAACGTATTACATAATTTGCCTATATGCTCACTTTATTTCCAAGTCTCCTTTACTCCCTCTCCATTGTAAAAGTAACATATTCATTATAAAAAATATGGAAAATATAGAAACAAAATCTATAATCCTAATATCCTTAAACATTTACATTTTAAGGCCTATCTATAGAACATATGTTTTACTAAGTGATATCACTAAAAACGTATCGAGAACAGTTTCTCATTATCCCCCGTGTCCTTGCAAAATACAATTTTAATACAGTAAAACCTTGGATTGCGAGTAACTTGGTTTGTGAGTGTTCAGCAAGACAAGCAAACATTTCTAATACATTTTGATGTGGTAAGCGAGTGATGTCTTGCTATATGAGTAGTTTGTTTCCGGAATGAATTATGCTCCCAAACCAAGGTATTACTTACTGTACCTGCATAATGTCCTTATTACATGGATATATATACCAGATTTTATCCCATTCCCTACTGCTGGAAATTTGGGTTGGTATCAATTTCTTCTTCCTAAAAGTTTAGCTTTAACAGTGTCAAGATAATGAACTAAACATATGCCAAAATCCCATCTTCTAAACCAAACACGAAGGACAGAAAAAAAGATACTTGAAAAAGGTAAATTACATATCTGAAAAGTAACAATAGCCAATGGGCCTAAAACAATGAAGTTTACAAGAAGCCATCATGTTCAGCCAGGAAACCCATGAAGTCCAACCATTCAGGAGAATAAATCATAGAAGACAGGTATAGAATTAAGAATCACCAAACATAACATGCGTTAGTCCAAGTCCATGAAGAAAAACAAGAAATTTAACAAATATAACCTTTGCACCCCAGCAATACAGAGACAACCCAGCTGCCAAAAAACCATCCAAGGAACTACCATACTAATTCCATCATACCCATGTTTAGTTCAGGTACAGTAAGTCCAAACATCCACGATCACCAGTCTTCACTAGGATACTATTCCCATGCTGCTCTTTAGCTTCCATTTCTGTGAATGTTCTTGTTCTAACTAAAACTTGGCTATTCCTGGAAGACACTTCTCCCTAGAGCCCTCTGAAGTGGTGATGTTTTCCTGCCATAATCCTTCTGAGTATGTCAGAGGTGAGGAGGGTGTCATTAATCTTCTCTGTACTACTTCCTCTGTTAAGGGGGGGGGGCACTTCAGCTCCTTAACGACCATGGGATCAGACTTTATCAGCCATTATCTTTGTTGCTAGGTTAACTGCTTCCCTCAAAATTCGTCCTCAACCCCTTCATTCATTGATGATTTTAGCACT